CTCGTCAAGTTTCCCTTGTTTTGCGACTGAACTCTAAAGCCACTCGTCGAGTTTCCTAAGCGAAACTCGACGGGTGCATACCCTTTGGGAAAGTTCATCTGACTCGCCCAGTTGTTCATCAACTCACAGAGTTTCATGACGATCTTCATCGGACTCGCCGAGTTGTTCATCTATCTCGTCGAGTTCACTACTTTCTTTATCAGACTCGCCTAGTCATCCTTGTGACTCGCCAAGTCCGTTTGGTCTTTTTCCTTACAGACTTATTTTGAGCCAGGCAGTGGCTACAATTGATAGATCTAGGATTTTATGGTATACTTATTACGTAAAGTCACAAACTTTACGTACATGTATTGCATTTAAGGCTCTAAATGCCAAGTCTAAGCTCTTAATGGAGCTTCATGCCCAAGAGGGACCTCACAGATGATCAATTCTGAGACTTTATGTTTCTATAGCTTAGAGAGGGTTCAGATCTGAAGTTACAACTTCAGATCCAACTCAGTGTTCAACTTATCAACCTTTAAGGTCCATAGAAAACCCTAGAACTTCAATAAAAGGAAAACTCATAGGAGAGATGGTAATTTAGGATACCTCTGGAAGATGACAATTGAAAATAGTGCTGATTCCCCCACCTAAATTGCTCCAACCTCTTCTTCCTTCAAGCCTTCTCCTTCAAAATCTTCAATTCAAGCTTCACACACTCAACAAGCACACACACTCAAATCAGGGGCTCTATATGACTGTAAAGAGACCCAAAGGAGGCTAAGGCTCCTTTAAATAGGGACACAAACCATGGGAATTAGGGTTTCACTTGCTAGATCCTACTCGCCGAGTCCCACTAGTAGACTTGCCGAGTCAGTCACTTAAGTTGCGATCCAATCCCGCTGCTACTCAACGAGTTGGGTAACCGACTCGTCGAGTAGGGCAGAAACCAAGAAACTATAAATTGAGAAATACCTGAGAATCGGGGCGTTACACCGATAGGACATTAGCTCTCCATAGAATTTAACTTTTGGCAAGTCGTGCTGCCAGGGTTGGTATTCGGATGGATTCGACCAGAGTTATAGCAACATTTTTAGGTAACTTTAAAAGTTTTATTTAGATAGTTACATATCAATGGTTTTTTTTAGTCTCAATCAAGGTATGCGATCTTATTTCGATTGTTCATGAAGATGTTTTCTGTTAGTGACTAAGGTTCGTCGTTTTGTTAGATATCTGGTACTTCACCCTTTAGGTAAGTCTATGGGTTCCCTTAAGTGCATGTATTGTAGTAAGTTCATTAGATATTATAGTGGTGGTTGAACTTAAGCTAGACACGATAGCAATGGAGTACTTGGTTCAAATTATATGCATTCTTCTTATTTAGATTATAGCCTTTGAATGGGAGCAAGAATGCAACCGCCTATCTCGTTCTCTAGATGTGTGTGACCATGTTTTCACCTAAACATTTGGATTGGTGATAGCTTGCGTTGTGGAGGGAATTGTGCATGATAAAAGGGTATGGTCTGGGTTGTGCTTGGTTAGCACCGAAAAGAATGTTGAATGTCTTTTCTGCAAGATAGTGGGTTGATGGTTGAGAATCTTTAGACCCGGTGGCACTCGCCGTGAGTCTTCAGGCTAGTAATGGAATGACGACAAGAACGTTGTAGTACTGTGAGCTTATCGTTTTAGCGGTTAGAAAGTGTCATGATGGATCGTGAACAAGTGGCTATATGATTCTTGTGGGTGAGACCCTGTAGTCATCTGGTTGAGTCTCTTAGGTCTCGGATTGTTAGTCTTATTGATATGGTTGCATGACAATGCATTGTTCTGGCAAGTTGGCAGTCTCAGTGAAAAGCTGGTTTGGATCATTTGGTCAAAAAAGTTGTTTACAATAATATATTGTTTTTGCACCGGATGTCTTTTAATGAATGGTTTCTATGGTGGACCCCTTCTTCTTGTGGGTTGTCTATTAGGAGTCTGGTTTCCAGTATGAGGAGTTGCTCCTAGAATCTTGAGTCCTAAAATTCGTTGTAGATGTCTCAAGTGATTTTTCAGGTGAAGGAACACCTGAGATGATGAGCGATTTCGATGCAATGTGCGAATTCTTGGATTGACCATCCTTATGCCTGTGGGGGAAACATGTTTGTGATCACATGTCATAAAGTCAAGAGTATATTAAAAGTTTTTGGGCAGAATTCAGTATACGTATTTTTTTAGTATTCTTTCAGCATGTTTTGGTGGTGTTACTAGTTGAGGAATAGGGGTAGGTTGTATAAAAGGAGGATCCTCAGTCTTAGTATATGGTTTCTAAAGAATAGACTGATGGGTTCCCAGTTTCGGGAAGTATAGTGACGAGGATGGTTTGTGGTTATCATAAAGAGAGTTTCTGGTTTGTGTGATTTACTCAAGAAGTTAGGTTATTTAGTTAGAAAGAGAAAGAAAATTTGTTTGTAGTTGTTGATTTTTTAGTCGTCTCTCGAGTTTTCTTTATAACATGCCTTGATTTCGAAATGGTTAAAAGGAGTGTATAGAATATGTTGGTGTTGTTTTAGTAATGACAATCGAGATGGATTTCCAGGATGAAATCCAGTTTAAGTGGGGGAGAGTTGTAACATCCTATTTTGAGAAATTTCTTTTTTCAGGATTATGGACAATAAATGGATCAAGTAAAGGCCTTGGGCTTCAAGGGACCGTATTAGATGTTGATAATATTGGTTATGTGATTAAATCCGTTGTTTTGTGTTGAAGTCAATGGGTAAAACAAGAAAAATGATGTTTTAGACTTCTTGTGTGAAATATGGATTTTTGTTTAAGACGTTTTTAGTCAAAGATATCTAGATAATATTGTGGGGCTCTTTCTTACCTTTCTGCAGATAAGATCACCGAAAATGGAGTGGAAACAAAGAAGTTATGATAGCTTGAAGTTAGAAAGGTTTTGGGGTTAGTCTAGTATGTTAGGCATATTGGGTGTATGTTGGGTGTATTATGCATACCTGGAGTACACTGGGCATACCTACGTACTCTAGGCATACAGGATCAAAACCCAAACCCTATTTTCGTGCTTTGAACCCTATTTAAGCTCCTTAATTCCCTGAAACCTATTCCTTTCTTAGGATCAACCTCTCCAACGTCCTCCCTTAAAACCCTAACCTGATTTGAGCCTTGTAAGCAAAAAGAAGTTGTTTTTAAGTGCTTTAGAGTATTCTTGGTGCATCTTGGAGAAGAAAGGGCTCATTGCAGAAGTGTTGGTTGCATTGGAGCTTGTAGATTCAGACTTTGTTCACCTTGATCTTGCTTCTAGAGGTATAAAGATTGAATCTTGATGATGCGTTAGTTATATCTAGCTAGTTTTGGATAATATGAGTTTTTTTTATTTTTTTTTTATTTTTTTTATATCATTATAGTGAATAAAGTTTAGATCTTGAAAGCTTGTGACCTGGTTATGGATAAAGATGGAAACTTTATCCATCTAAACATCATTTTGATTCATATATGAAGGTTGACGACTTAGACATAATGTATTAAGTTGATAATGATGCACCTTCGGGTCCCTTTGAGACATAAAAACTAAATCTTGGTTGTTGGACCATTAGATATGTTAAAGTTGGAAACTTTATCCATTATGGATTTAAGAGGAAGCATAAAAATGTAATCTAGGTCCCTTATTCACTTACATGTAAATGTTAGAGAACTTAAGAGCTTAAGACGAGTTAGGGTTTTGCTGTTGGGCATTTTCAATGCATGCAAACTTATAAATATGGAAACATTATGGTTTCGAATGATATTTGGTGGCTAGATCTCCAATTGGATGAAAGGACTTCATGAAATAAGAACTTAATGGGGAAGAGACTTTTGGTTGGGTATGCTAGGCGTACTGCTAAGTACGTTGGTCATACTACCTTGGAAGCCCGATATAGACCTTGAGTACACTAAGCGTACATGCTGAGTACACAGGGCGTACTCAGCCTGAGTCAACTCAGTTGAGTTTATTGATTTTTGACCTTGAACAGGATTTTCACCAAGCTTAACCTAAGGATATTAGCTATTTTGAGTTGAAGTTTAGATTTGTAACTATTGGATGTATAGGTGACTGGTAGAGCTAATACTTAGAGTAGTAACCTATTCAACTATTTTCTTAGACTAAGAGGTGAGTTTTCTTCACTGTACTTGTGGGTCGAGGCACCAATGCCGACCCATTGGATTATGTATTATGGAATGTCAGGTGTTGTTATGGAGTAGTGATCTTTAGATCTATATTCCAAGATATAGAATGTTCCTATGCACTAGTGATCTGTAGATCTGCCTATTTGTCTGTCGGGTTATATGATTTTATATTTACTGGATGTTATTTGTTTCGTATAAGTCGACATGATATGGTTGGGTTGAGGCAATCCAACTATGGGAGCAAGCTCGACATAAGTTGTGGGTTAGTAAGGTAGGCAATACTTATGTTGTGGGCTCAGAAGCAACCCAAACATAAGCTGTGGGCCAATTAGGCGAGCTATACTTATTTTGTGAGCTCCGAGGCAAGCCAGACATGAGCTGTGGGACGGAAAGGCAAGCCAGACTCATGCGGTGGGCTTGGGGGTAATCAAGTCTGTTAGTTGTGGACCCAATATGGATGATGTTATATGTTTGTGTAGTGGAATTTTGGGGGAAGTCACCAAGCTTCATTCTTACAATTTCATTTTATTTTTTCAGGCACTTCATATGATTAGGCAAGGCGAAGGACTAGTCTTACACATCCTTCAGATTTTATGATATTCGATCTTAGGATACTCTGATTTGTAATTATAACTTTTGAAAAAGTGTTTTGTAAACAATTATTGTGCCTGAGTGGTTATTGGAAAATGAAAATTTTACAATAATTTTTAGGATGTTACGTAGTTGTTGTGCCAACATCTGGAATGACAGCAACGAAAATTTCCCTTTGAAGGTCATCTTCAACCCTCCAGCTTCAGATATCTCAGGATGAGAAGGAGTTGACACAATCACCACCATTTGCATTTGCTCATCAGGATTCACTTTATTATTCTCCCCCTTTTGGAGGCATCAAAATGGGGAGGAGAACCATAAGGAGTGCGATGTGGGGAATGTGATGGTGGAGGATGTGGAGGTAGATTTGATGATGGAGGTGGACATGGAGGAGGATAATCACATAGTGATTTTCGGGGAGTATCTCCAATAACCATTTCATCAGAATCATCGTCACCAAAGGCCACAAATCTTTTTATATTAGCCACATCCTCTTTAACATTAGACAATCTTTCACTCAACGATTGAGTTATTTTTATTAGTAGAGAAAGTGGAGAGAGTATAGTTTTTTCAAAATTAGAGTTGGATTCCCCTTAATAAACAGTAGTAGTCTAAATAGGTGTTGCATAGAAGGAATAGTGTTAGCTTGAGGAGGAGAAGACGCATTCTTGGAAAAAATACATCTTGAATAAGCGGCTCAGTAGTTTCTACAAAAAGGGAGGATTCATCCACGTTGTACAGCATCATCTGAAGAGAAATTGGATGAAGAAGTGGATAAGAATCGAATGTGCTTGTTCGTCCTTGGAGGAGAGTTCATTCCTTGAGTAAGGTCTTCTCCTTTATCAGTGGCGAGTTCATCTTCATCAATATCAATGTCTTTTTGCTTCTTCACTGTCATCCTTATCGTGATCTTCTTTAGAGTCAGAGGCTTCAAAAATGTAGGGATTTGCAATCCATTTTTGCATCCTTTCATTAATATGCAAATCATCTGTAGAAGGAGCAACATTTATGATATTTGACGAGAGGGTAGGAATGGGAATGGTGATCCCATGATTTTCATCATAGACTTCCTCATGAGTCAAAGTCCGTTCAAATAAATGGGGATAAGGAAAGTACACTTTATTTTTGTTCCCAGTGATGTAATCAATCAGCTGATCAAGAAAAAGTTGAGAAAAATCGTGTCGTTTGTTGCACACAATAGAAAACAAAATCCTTTGCTCAAACATATACAGTTTATCTAAATTCCCAGTCTTGTGTCCAAGGATTTTGCCAATAACCCATGTTAAATACTTTCATCCTGCACCAAAACACTAACGAAGAGTGGTTTTCTATGGATCACAAGTGGTGCCCAGAAGATGAAAATTATACCCTAATCTTTCACGAATGGACTTTCAATTTTCTTTCGAAGGAGTTGCAGAATAATTTTCTAATCACAGAACAATAAGAGCAGTTCAAAAATATTCCACATAAAGTGTAACCATATATTGACCGTTTTTAATGATTCAAGTAATGGTTTGAGCATCAAAATCTACAGAGCATGAATATTAAAATTCACCAACTGTAGTGAGGTTCAAATGAATATTACAAATGAAATCAAGAACTGAATGCGATAAGCAAAAAGATGCAAACAGAATATGTTTGGCCCTTTGATTAAGTCTGAAGTAATACGTGAGTACAGAAGATTAAAGTGCTCACACTCACAAAAAGTACTCTCGACTCCTATACTTACCCTATTAATAGGTAGTAATAGACACGTACAAAAAGATACAAAAGGGCTAGACACGAAAGCTTCGACCACTAACAATGCCTTATGCAATACATACATTCGAATACAACACAATGACTTTGACACTAACCAGACCTAAATATACTTCGACACCTCACTACATACTTCAAACTCTATAATCTACCCTTTAGTAAGAAGTACAGAATCTATGTCATCATCATCTTCACGGCCTGGTGAAGTACTCCATGAACCTCCGTATACAAGATGATCATCTTTAAGATTTCAGCTTTATCCTCAACAGTATTCTTCTTGCAATTTCCAAGATGAACCACAACACTTGTATACTAAGAGTTGGTGTACCTCTCCACATCACAAACTTGAAATAGAAACTTTGTCATCTTGTTTGGCTTGTTCTTCCCATCATCATAGTCCTTGACACTAACTTGACCTTTAAGCATTGACTAAGGAACTTTCAAAGTTCTACTCACGGTCATAACAGGCTCGATGTCTGTCATTGTTAAGCAATCATAGTAATTGTCTATGAAAACTTTGATATGTGTGAATCCAATCAAAAAATCATCCTTGTTGCTTTCTTGGTGCTTCGACACATCGAAAGTGCTAAGAATCTTCGTTATGATAACAAGATCATTCAGGTTCATAAGAGGGAAATCAGCCACTTAGAAGTCACGAGCAACGTTGTTAGCTTTGACAACATGTTATCGAATATTTTGTAACAAGCCCTCAAACAAACTTTGTCTAGTAATGTTAAAACCTAAACAATCTTGACCGAAGGCGCCACTTCTTCTTCCTTCTTTCCCAACACAACATGAAATCTCATATTCAATCTCTTGTACTCATCCCTGTCTTCAAAATTATAAATCAACTGATACTGAGAAGAGATAAACATCATGTGATTAATTGGGAAAGCCAACTGATTGAAGTTAATATTTTCGATCTCATAACTTTTCTTTCAAAACTTTCTGAAATCATGCATATTTCCTAAAGAGAATAGTTGCTCGATTGCTTGTAGCAACAATGTTTGCTCGGGTCACCTTTGCTTAATTCGGGTTGATCACTTTGCCTTTGTCTCAGTACGCTCTTGATTTGTCTGTCTGTCCATTACCAGTTCCATATATCTCTTCTTTTCTTCTTTAGAAATCAGCTTCTCAATACCCTTCCTTTTGTCGCCTTTATCATCCTTAGAAGGTAGTAGCTTTGAACCTAACTTCGAACCCCCAACAGTTTCTCCAATAAGAATTCCTTTAGTTATTAGTCTTGAAGTAATTATTGTTGAAGTGCATGTTAGAGAAACATGAAGTGATGTCGAAATTTGCATTGAAATAACCTTCATAACCACTTTACCTTGATTAGGTTCGTTCGAATAACCAACCCCCTTATCTCCCCCTTGCACCACTTGTTTCATAGGTGGGGCACTCATTAGCATCAACATAAGTAGCTTAAGTAGAGGAGCAAGTTCATCCTTAAGATTCGATTCAAGAGAGGAAACCATCTTTGAAATTCAATCCTGAGAGGCAACAGAGTGTTGAGACAAATCAAGCTTCGAAAAGGACTGTTTTAAACATCCCAAAAACTCCTCCATCTTGTCAAACACTTTCACATTTTTTCTTTCTTGGCTTCGAGTTTAGTAGAAAAAAAATATGATACTCCATGAGCTTCTTTATTGTATTAGTAAGAACATCCACCTTGATATGAAGACTTGAATAGTTATGTTCTATCTTTGACACTACCTTTGACATTTTTGACTTGAGTTCGTCCACTTTGAGTTTGACAGACTCTCCACCTTCTAAACTTCCTCAACAAAAAGAAGATTACATTCTTTTGCAATGTCACGAAGCTTGTTCACCTTATACTTGAAATTTTCAACAAGAAGCTTTAAATGTTGTTCATGATTTTGTTAAATTTGATCCATAGCCATCTTTAAATGATGCTCTTGTGTCTTAAGCATAATATCCACCTCAATCCCAGACATTGAATTTCGACTCCATGTATCAGCTTGAATTTGTAACAACAAATTCAGCTTATAATTAAGAATTTTAAACTGCTTCCCTAACATAAACATATGATCAGGAATTCTATGTTCTTCCGGGTTAAATTGAATCTTCTCAAAGGATACTATCACATCATCATCATCCTTTTCATCCTCTAGAATTGACTTTTCACATTTAGTGGATTGGGAAGAGAAAAATGATGTTATGGATTGATGCATAATGTTTGAGAAAGGGAGTGAAATGGTAGAAGCAGGTAATGAAGTTAAGATAGGAGAAGAGAATGGTGGTAAAGAATTTGAAGTGTTAATGATGGTAGTTTTGATTGCTGAACATAGATCAAGTGTTATAGGAATAAAAGAGGTTTTAACAGAAGATATACCTTGCGCTTCGTGATGCTTCATCCTGTAACCCATATTAAAAAGTTGTGTCCATATCATATATGTTCACTGTGATACCTGAGGTTCGAATCTCCTCTGAAATAGACCTAGTCATCAAAACCTCGTGTTGTATGACCATTTCCTTCTAAGGGATGGTAATAGTTGGAGATTCACTCAAATTAGTTTTGTATCCATATGAAATACGTGTAAAGTTCCACCAAGACTTCCAGTCTCTTCGAAAGTTGACTTAATCAGAGAGTCTCTTTGTTAGGTCTTGAAGCCCAATCAGTTATCATGACAAATCGGAGATCTATCGCTTCCACTTTCGAAATCAGTTTCCACGACAACATCGTCAAGCGGATCAACCAGTTGGTTCTTCTTCTTCTTGATTTTTTCACAATGTCTTAAGCTTACATTTCCTCAATGCTGGTGACATTGGAACTGGAAAATCAAGAATTCTCACACCCCTTCGATTAAGTTGGGGTTTGCGAATTTTTCTTATATTCGAAATAGATCCTTCCTTTGGTGAAGATAATGGTTCACCAGAAACTTCATCATCAATTGGTGGTTCAGGAGAGCATCAAGGACGATGACAAGGCTTCTTGGTTCACTTCAGAGTGCCCTTCTTCTAAGGAACAACCTCCTTTTGAATTTCTTTTTCAATAGTTTCTTGAACCGGTTTTGTTATCTCCTTCTCGATGTGTACTAGTACTGATTTTGGTTGTTCAGGGTTCTTTGGTTTCTTGGAACATTTAAAACCTTCGAAGTACCCTCTGCCCCTTTTGGAAAAAAAACCCCTACTTAAAACATCTGGGTTAATAGTTGTCAAATAATGAACAAGAACTGGATGGGTAGGATCTACTTTTCCTAACAAGGCATCTGGATTTTGAGCCACATTTGGGAATAACACATGATCATCATTAACAACTTTAGGATGTTGATATGTTGAAAAATCAGCCTTTGCATCTTTGGATGGTACCAAAATTCCCTCTTTCTCAAACACTTTCCTGAGAATAAAACTCCAATACCTCGCACATGATACGACATTCGTAACATTGGTATGGGAAATGCCATTTCCGAAGTCTTTCCACAATTGAGTTACATAATCAACATTGATATTGTAGTAAAGACCTGCAATCATGGCATAGACTTCCAACTTCACTTTATCGAGACTATTGTTGCGACCAGTTAAACAACGAAGAAAAATCCCAAACAAGAAATTCAAAATACAAGGCAACGTAGTCTTTTGAAAACTACTTATCCCTATAAGTGGGGGTTGATGACACATTTCATTGAACATATGAACCACCTGTTCATTCATAACTTTATAACGCAGATCTATATTAGGAAGTTTCAGGATTGGAAGAAATTACCTCTTGGTAAGTTTGTACAACTTGTCATTTGTGAGTTGAAACTTCACCACATTAGATGTCTTGTTAAAAAATATAGTTGATCCAGCCAGTGATAACCACGTCATGGAGACAAAGAATGAAGATGATATAACTGTGGAAAGAACATAATGATTAAGAGCAACAATCATAATCTATAATTGTTTAGGATACTTTGAAACATCATGTTGAACACCGAAGTTCGAGCTTTGAATATTCATCACTGGTGAGATGTTTCTTTTTTAGTGGTGGTGTTTGATGGATCAACATGACCGGTTTGAGCTGCCTTGATTAGGGTTTTTGAGAACTTTGTGGAGATGAATATCGTGAAAGAATATTTGGGGAAAATCATACCAAATTACATAAAGTATTTAATTTAGCCCACCAAAATCGTTTTATAATCAACGGGAAAGTTTGAATTTGAACCGTCCACCAATAAAAATATGTCATGGCTTGCCTTGGAAAATGGTTAGTTTCCAAAAAAGTCACCACATATGTAAAAGTGATGATCACTTTTCCCTAAAAACCGTGAAAGAACTGAATCGTCAGATCCATCGAATGTTTCATTTTGCCCAAGGTGACAGTAACCATTAATTGACCTTCATTATAACATTGGAAAGCTTTGTCATCAAGAGAGCACTTTGACCTTCGCTTTGACACCCGAATATTTGATATAGGGTAAGGCTCATTCGATTTTTGGATGTAAAACGAAATCACATGCTAGTCTTTGCGAAATCTAGGTTTAAGTTGGTATTACCCAAGACCTTGAGGATTTCGGTGCAATTGTGTGCCAAAAAATAGCGAGAATCAAATTAATAAATGTGTGTATAGTGACATCAAACAATATTTGATGTATAAGCAGTTGGATCCCAGGAAAAGATCACTTTATTCGACATCAAGAGAGAAGACGAACTGATTGTATGGTATCCCATGAAGTACAATTGAATACTCGTGAATGAGTATCGAAGGGTTTCTTTTTGCACAAGCATCGAATGTAGGCTTAATTTTGTTCATAACCACAACTTAACATAAATCTGAGTAAAATGAACAAAATTACTTGTATGATTGGTGTAGTCACGAACAAGTGAGGTTGAGAAAATATTCCAAGGTGACGAAGGTTCAAAAAGATATTCAGATTGAAATCATATTCCTTGAAAAAATTTAGTATTGGATCCTGTTGGGCAAAAATGAATTGGTTTAAGAATATTTTATCAAGACCATGCATAACGAAAGGAATACGATTTGAATATCGAATAGTGGTACAGAAACAAATGTTTCGTTAAAATATTAAACATAAACGTCACCATCAATTCCAAAAGAGTTTGGATTGTTGGGTTTCACCATCATCAAGAAAAATGAATCCGGATCATTAACACAGACTTGTGAAATATCTAAATTATAGTTGGCTTCTACTTGAGATGTCTTGGATATGCAAGTGAGGTGTGTAATTGTGAAGAAGATTTTTGGTGAAAAAGATTGGTTTAGAAAACACTATGTACCTATGCAAATGATATCGACTTTACAGTAATCTCTTTACTCAAAATGAGAAGAAAGAGGTAGCTCTTCGAAAAATGTGAATATAACATGATTAGGAAGGAACACTCATAGTGAGAGATCAATTAAGGCTTCATAACACATTGAGTCTATGAGGCCTAGGTCAATGTATGACATCATGCTTCTAGGGACACCTAACTAGGACAAAGATTTGAAATGGTACATGTCTCGCTTTTGAATAGATACCATTGAGCATTTGCCACCACAGTATGTTGATTCATTGAAACATAGGAAAATGTTAAACACAAAACAAAATGATGAAAATATTTTTGGATTTTTTTTTCAATTGAAAAGACGAAAATAAGAAGTTTTTCTTAGATTTTTTGTTTTTGAAAATTTAAGACAACAATAAGAAAATCTTTATGGAGTTTTTGTTTTTCAAAAATATAAAGACGAAAATAACAATCTTTTTTGTATTTTTGTTTGACAAAATGAGAATAAAAAACCAGTAAAGTGTTACCGAACATTCAATGTACGATGTATCCACTTCCATCCAGTATACATCTAAAAATAATTCTTCTCAAAAAACGAAGGTGGATCAGAACCATTTAGAGGGATTTTGAATTCGAGGGTCGTTGAACGCCGAATGGTGAACATTACGCTTTGAACACTTTAGTATCACTTCGACAACTATTGATTCACGGTGATGATGAACCTGGAACAAAGCATTCATTAATCATTCCTAAACCATTTAAGATCCTTAGAAATGATTTTTCATCAAAAGGTTTTGTGAAAATGTAGGCAAGTTGATCCATTGTCTTCATAAAATGAACCTCGATATTTCCATCTTCGACGTGATCATTGATAAAACGGTATCAAAGTACAATGTGCTTTGTCTTTAAATGTTGAACCAAATTGTGGCAGATGTGTATGACACTTTATGAATCACAATATAAAGATAGCCTTTTCATATTGATTACATAATCACGATGTTAGATTTGAATCCATATGACCTGAGAAGTGCAAGCTGCAGCTGCAACATACTTTGCTTCTGCTTTGGAAATCGAAACACTAGTTTGTTTCTTTGATTTCTAGGTCAGAAGCTTCCCGTCTAAAAGTTGACATCCACTAGTTGTGGTTTTCTATCAAGTTGACACCCACCAAGGTCTGCGTCAAAAAATGCCTATATGAAAAATCCAGTTTTCGAAGGGTACCATAAAGCCAACGACATAGTTCCTTTAATATATCGAAAAAAATTCTTCACTACTATTAGATGGGGTTCTCTGGGATTCAATTGATATCTAGCACAATCACAAAGAACGAACATCATATTTGGTCTACTAGCAGTTAAGTATAATAAAGAACCTATGATGCTTCTGTACAAAGTGAGATCACCAACAGGCTTGTCCAACGAAGGTCCTAAGCGCGTGCCAACTGCCATTGGTACTTTCAATTTCGAACTATTCGTCATGCCAAATTTCTCAAGTAGGTTAAGGGTACTTCGCTTGATTTATGAAAAATTCCATCCCTGGTTTGACGAATATTCAATCCCATAAAATTATTTATCTTACCCATAATATTTATTTTCGAGCCGACTTTTCATCATATTCTCAAATTCCCTAGAGAATGAAGGGTCAATCGAGCCAAAAATAATATCATCTACATAAATTTGAATAAGCATCAGATGATCCTCTACTTTCTTTTTAAATAGAGTGGGATCAACTGATCCTTGTTTAAATTTAGAGAGTTTGAAAAAGTTGGCAAGAGTTTCATACTGGGCTCAATGGTCCTTGTTTTATGCCACATACATCGTTATGAAGAATATAACAATGATTAGGAAATTTGTCATTTACAAAACCTGGTGGTTGTGCAACATAAACAAGTTATTTTAAGTCTCCATTGAAAAAAGTGCACTTGACATCCATTTAATACACATCAAAGTCTTTTTGTGATGCATAA